ATTTATCCTATCATTCCATCCTGACTGGCCTTTTCTCAATTGGCACAAGCTAGAATTACCTGGGAATTGGGACCTCAATAGAGAAGTGAGTCAGTCTCTCTCTCTCTCTCTCTCTTTCTTTCAAAGCAAATTCTCACTATGTAACCCTGGTTGGCTTAGGACTGACTGTATAGATAAGGTTGTCTCTAAACTCACAAATTCCTGAATGCTGGGATTAAAGTGCGGGTCATTTTGCCTTGTGTTGTAGGGCATTCTCTTGATTAATGGTTGGTGTCAGAGGTCATAGGCCCCTGGGACAGTGTGGTCCTTTGGCAGGCCATACTGGGTTGCATAGGAAAGCGGGGCTGAGCAGGGCAGTGGTGCTGCACGCATTAATTCTAGCCCCAGGAGGCAGCAACAGGTGGATCTCTGTGTCCAAGGCTAGAATGGTCTACAGAGTGAGTTCTAGGACAGCCAGGTCTCCACAGAGAAACCCTATCTTGAAAACAAAAGCAAAAAACAAAGACAGACAGATAGAAAGTGGGCTGAACAAGTTGTAGAGAATAATCTGGTAAGTAGCATTCTTCCATGGCCTCTGATGCCAAGTTACTACCTCGAGTTCTTGCCTTAGTTTCCCCTGAGGATAAACTGTATGTAACCTACAAACCATGTAAACTCTCTCCTCCACAAGCTACTTTTGGTCATTGTTTTAGTTACTTTTCTATTGCTGTGATGAAACACCATAACCAAGACAAATTATAGAAGAAAGCATTTAATTGGGGGCTCACTTACAGTTCAGAGGGTGAGTCTTATCACAGTGTGGAACCCGGCGCAGGCTGACCATCACGGTGCTGGAGAAATAGGCTAGAGCTTACTTGTTAAGATGAGAGAGAGAGAGAGAGAGAGAGAGAGAGAGAGAGAGAGAGAACGCACAGAGTGCACTTACTGGGAATGGTGTGTGGGCTTTTGAAATATCAAAGCCCACCCAACAGTGACACACCTTGTCCAACAAAGCCACATCTCCTAACACTTCCCAAACAGTTCTACCAACTGTGGACCAAGCATTCAGGTCTATGGGACCGATTTCATTCAGGCCACCCCAGTCATGGTGTTTATTACAGCAATAGAAAACTCATTAATTCTCTTCCCCCAACTCCTCCCAGGCCCACCCAGCCTTCTCTACCAACCCACCTTTGTGTTTTCTTGAATTATTTTAATCCACCAAGCCCAATTTGTTCTGCTCATACACACTTGAGTGTGTCGCCATTCACTGCAGCATGGCTGACTTAGTAGGGCCTGAACCCTTAAAAGAAAAGCCACTCTTCCTCTCCCAGTGGCTATCAATTGCTATTAGCTCCTCGGCTAGGGGTGACTTTGTGTCTCTCCCCTCTCCAAGTGGAGATTTTGTTTGGTCTGAGCGTGTGCCGATACTGAGCATGCTGTCACTACCGCTACTCTGTGAGTCCATACGTGCAAGTAGGGCTGTGTCTGGAAAAGAGCTTCCTTGCAGTCAGGCACCATGTCTGGATCTTGCAGTCTTTCTGCCTCCTCTTTTGCAATGGTCTCTGAGCCTTGGGGGAAGAGGGTGTGAGACAGATGTACCAAGTGCAAAGGAACATAGTTTGAAGAATGACATGTGCTACCGAAACAGAGCCAGTTTAGAGTGCTGGCTCAGCAGGCTTCACCACCACGTGCCTTTGTTTTCCCTGACACTACTTTGACTGTGAAGCTAAAATTCTCTTCTCTGTTCATAACACTGGGTCACGGGTGGCTATGGAAAGTCCCTGCAGTCCAGTGGCAGGTCTGCTGTAAGGTGCCCCTCCCACACTATGAGCTAGTTGGCTGTTGGGACACTTGGGGGAGTGAGGGCTCCGGGTCTCCCGTGCAAGGGACTTGGAGGTGTCTTGCCACCAGGCCTCCCAGTCTTAGGACTTAGGGGAATGTCGTAGGGAGGGGATGTTGCCAGGGCCTCAGTGGAGTCTGGGGTACTCCTATTCTCGCCTGACCTGGGAGTCTCTGCAGAAATGTGTGCATGGCTGCTCCTGAGAGGAATTTTACCTTCCCACCGTGCCCTCAGCAATGGAGGTCACTCCTGGAAAGAGAAGCAGCTGCATCACTGCTCCCGGGCTAAGGTGTTGATCCCTTCACCACGCCAATGTCTTCACTCGAAACCCAGTGGTCTTCCAACCCGAGTGAACAATGGCAGAGATGAACAGAGCATCGCCCTATCTGCCTGGCACACTACCCCCCTCACCACGCTCCTGTGTGTCAGGCAGGGCATGGCGTCTGCTAGCCGGCTGCTTTGTGACCTCTATGTAACTTCCTGGGGGCTGAGGAAGTTTGTCCTCCTTTTCTGGGCTCGTGAACGCCCATGAAGAGATCCAGCTACACAACTACCTTTTTCCTCACAGGACAGCTCGACTCTGTCAGCTACTGAAAGTCCCTGCAGTCCCTGTTCAACTCAAATGGCAGGTCGGTCTAAGACACCCCATAAGCATTGTGGGCTAGCTCCCCCTCCACTCCCTCAGTCCTTTCCATATGCACGAAGCAGGAGTGAGAGGTAAGGAGAGGTTGGGGCTGAGAGCCTGTGTTCCTGCCTCCTCTCAGACCTTGGAGTTCTGGGGCTGGCTCAACTTCTTGTATTAATTCTCTAGGATGTGGGCCAATCAGAGCCTCTTTGTCCTCTCAGCTGTAGGCAACAAGGAAAAGGGGCTCATCAGCAGAACTACAAACTTGGCTGCTAAAGAAGACATTACATAATTCTTAAACTTCCCAGGTTCACATTTTGAAGTTTCTAGTTAGGAAGAATTCAGGCTCACACTCAGAGGACATTTTGTGCTACATCTAGACACAAGTTCATTATCTGTGGAGTCCTTCCAAACTTGCAGGCAAGAACTCAATGCTGTGGAGTACTCTATGGGAAATGCAGGTTACGCCCATTTACAGTAAGTTGGTGTTGGGTCTGCTGTGGGATGCTCCTGCATGTGCTGGAGTGATGCAATGACTGTGCACCCATCTGTGTTTATTCCAAAATAAACATTTCTCTTCTTCTCTCAAACATTTGCAGTCCTTTAAAATTCCCTTCCAGTTTCACCTTTAAGTAAATAAGCTTGCAGAACGCACTCATCTCTCTGTATTTATTCACCACCCGGTAAAGGAACCAAGAGAGGTGTCTGAATGATAGCAATACAAGGCAGACAGCAGCCTTCTCCTGAGATCCCATCCCATGAAGACATATAAATGAACCAAGGGCAACTTTGTGTGATAATAAAATGAACAATAAAGAAAAGCATCCCCGGACATACCTATCCACCCATCCCCCAACACTCAGGCATAGGGGCCAAAAGAAAGGGAGAGGTGAAGGTGACTTGCAGGACAGAGTGATTTCCACACGTATGACAGGGCAGTTGCACAGAAGAACTCACAGCCATCATGACAGCGTGAACAAAACCTGTGCAAGCTCAAAGCAGACAAAATCCCAGCACGGAGAGGGCTAGGTGGACATGAAATCCATCCCTAACTCTGAACCCATTGGCATTTGATTGCTTCTAGGAGAGGAAGGTTTTAATGCTATGACCCCTTGTTGATCACCCCCTCTAGGGAGACCCCATTCCCCAGGATAGTTGTCTCATAAGAACTAGACTTGATGAAGGGGCAAAGAAGAGATCTTTAAGTCAGGTGGGTATGGAGGTGAGAGTGGAGTTGTGGATGAGGGGTTAATATGATAAGAACACACTGGATAAAATCCTCAGGGAGTTATTTAAACTGTTAATAAAGAACAAGTTCATATGAAGAGCTCTTCTTACTGACAAAGTCAGCTAGGGTTTCTGGATTGGGGGGACGCTAAGGCTAAGGAAATATCAGATGAAAGGAACTGAGACAGAAACACAGGATAGCATTGGGAGGTCTGTTTGGTCATGCTGAAACCGCCAAACAGCCCAGAGTTTATTCCAGGACTAGCTTATAAGCAAAGGCAGAAAACTGCACAGCACAGACGGTCAGTCAGTATCTAAGCACAAGACCATTCTGGTCCTTGAGTGAGCAGCCTCCTCTCAGTAAGTAAGGCTCAGAAGCAGCCTTACTTTCTATCCTGATGTTCCTAAGGTTTGGCATCGGCCGTACTCTTTCTAGTAGATAGAATGCTCTTTTCTCATGGGCAAAATGCTCTTTCCCATGGGCTAAATCAGGAGTCTCTAACCGTTCTCAATATTATTGGAAAAAGCAGAGCAGGCAAGCTTTAACTCGAATGACTCATGAGTCAGAATCAACTCCAGATGGAAACTGAGTCATATGTGAACTACCATAAACACCTAGTGCTGCTTCTCCATCTCCAACAGCTATTTCCTGATGTTTTCTCCCAGCATTCTTGTTCTGTGCTTTGCCACTTTCTGCCTGAACCCCTGTATTAACAACCTGTGGGCTCTGCTCATGCCTGCTTATGGTGTCTTAGTTCTTCATGACTTTGAAGCAAATTCCTGTACTGTTGTTTTGTGTTCCTGGCTTATCACAGTATCTGAATTAATCTGCTTTATTATCTTTCTTAGCGACTGCTCATGAATAAGCACACTTGAGTCTGGAGAAGTCCTTTCCCAGTGTTGAGTTCACCCCTGTGGATTTCAAATGTCAATTTCTTCTGTTCTTTCTCCTATTTAAGAGCTTAATTTTGAACTATAGTTTGAAAGGACGTAATCTCAGGTTTTGGATTTGGCATGCACCCCCATTATTATTATATATTCAGATTTCTTTTTCCAATATTAATGTTCATTCCTTAGACACTGGCCCCGCATGATTTGATGGGAAGTGCTTACCTTGATTATTTCCAGTCAGGATGAGGAAGACTCTGGAAGCTCAACATGATGTATTCCTGAGCATAGGTAGATTGCACAATCTGGGTAAATCAGACTGTGTCAAAAGAAATCTTTATATTCTGAAAGATGAGCTATGGCCAAGTGGGATTATGCAAGATCAAAAAGGGGATTTCTCCACTAGCCAAGTGACAGTATATATAGGCAGCCCCAGCCACATCTCCTCACCGAATAGCACTAGCCGCTTGCCCGAGGTCTCAGCAGGAACTGACAGCCCCAGGTGAGTTGTCAGAACTTTCCAGCATTTGTTCTTTGCAGACTCTGTTCCACCAGCATTCACTGGCTGTGTTTTCATGCTCGGTCTCTCTCCTGAATCTACTAGATGCATTAGAATTCACAGGAGGCAATGCTGTTGCCATAGGGATTTGTTGTCTGCTTCTGTGTGAATTCAGGGAAGGGTGGGGTCAGCCTTCTACAGATAGACTGCAGAGACCTATGATGGCTGTAAAGCCACCACATCCCGCTCCGGAAGATTCCTATAGAATTGGGTTTTGGCTGGCAAGATCAGAATGCAAAGTGCTCTATACTAGGGGTCCATTTGCAAACTCTCAGGCACTGGGAGTCGAATGAAACACGTGGAAATGGGGAGCAAGAAACTCCCTGGAATCCACTTACATGATGTCTCTACATGTGTGTGGATTCCTGTATAAAATCCAGTGGGATTTGGTGTTGACATACAAGCACAGCTCAACATTATAGAAGCATCCTCCACCCCATGAAATGGCACATTCATCCTTGTGTTTCCCTGACCCTACAGCAGGATGAAGCCTTCCATTGCCATCATTTTGTGTCTCTTGGTCCTGGGAGTTGACAGCCAAAGGTGGCTCGAGTTCATTAAAGAAGCTGGTCAAGGTAAGAGCAAAGGATGGGGGCAGGAGGTTGGATTTGTGGATTCCAAGTATTGTCCAGAGCAGGGACCACAAAATTCAGGGCAAACATTCTTGTGACATATCCTGGATAGGGGAACATTGTTGCTCTTCCTATGTAGTTCTGAACTTTCATGGTCAGTGTTGACCTCTTTGTGTGAGGACCCCTAGCCTAAGAGCACATAACGTGAGTACAGCAGCTTTTCCACAGCAATATAGGAGCAATCTGTACCTGAAAGATGCAGATTCGCCAGCGGGAGAGGGGATCTGCTGCCCCCTTGTGGAAGGTGATAAACAGCTCGCCTCTATGTCTTGCGGCCGTGAAATGTAGAGCATCTTACCTGTACAGTGTTCCAGTAGAGTCCTCAAACACAGCGACAGCAGCGAAGGCTAACTGAGCTCTTCACACTGTGAAAAGGCGTTGTCCAAGAAGCATTACTTGTTAAAATGGAGTAATGTTTAAATTAACCTGGTGGTGTAAGAGCCCCATCTATCTTTTAAGGAAACTGAGGCCAAAAGCAGACATAAACTGTCTAACAAAAACCCAAAGAAGAGCAGATGTTATCCCTGGTTGGCCAGCTTCTCAGAGTCCACTAGACAGCTCCCAGAACAGAGCAGGGACTTCATGAGCACACACCCACTCTTTACCTGAGAGCGGCAGTTCATGGGTTGGGGAAGGCAGCTGCCTTTAAAGGGAGCTTCAGATCCTCCACCGGCAGATGACCATGACTTACTTACCTGGATACCGGTCTGCTGGGGCCGAGACACGGGCAGGGAACTATCACCGAGGGAAAGACATCCCACCAGCCACAGCACAATAAAAGTTAAATCAACCTAGATATTGGCCTTGCCCTTTTTCCTTAACTCGTTACTTCTGAAGATATTTCCCATTTACTGTTACTGGGTCTGATTCCTTCAGTGCGCAGCTCACCACTCCTGTCCTTGCTTTAGACCTTTTGATCTTTGTGGCACCTTCCTGAGGAGCAGAGAAGTGAGAAGATGCGAATAGATGGAGCATCTTCCATGAACATCCCACGTGCATTTTCTCGGTTATTCTGCATAACCGCCAAGGTGGCTAATACTCTTCCCTGTTCTTATAGAGGATACAGAAGTTTTAAACCTAGGTGTCCTTTGTCACCTAGAGTTTCTGGTCACCCAGCTTGTTTCAGTCTGTCAGAGAATGCCCTGCTGTCTCCTGCTGATGGAGTGCTGGGAACTGCTCAGGCTGCAGTAGATCCTGAACATCTGTGGACTCCGAGCAGAGCTGCACTCACTCTGCCTGGAGAGCAGGTTCTCCCGTTGCCTGTGCTGGGAGAGAGTTGTGGCTGCAGTGGTAACTGTAGCATTTGGGAGGCTGAGGCAGTAGGATTGTGGCTTTCAGGTCATCCGGGGTCATATAGAGATGCATGCTGTCTCTAAAGGAAGAGAACATAAAGAAAGGAAAGGAATGGAGAAAGGAGAGAGGGGAGATGAGGAAGGGAAGAGGCCTCATGTGCTCACACCATGTATACAGTTTCCCTGGATCATTTCGGAGAGGGCTTCATTATCGTCTGATGAAACACCCCCTAGAGATCATCTCTCCCCTATATGCTTTCTTGAGCAGCCAAAGACCAATAACAACAGAGCTAAGACAGGAATCCCTCAGAATAAAACTCGCTCCAAATATGCTTCCTCACGGACATGGGGAAGTAAGAACCATTCACGTCAAGCCATAGTTCTCTGGGCTTGTGAAAGGCTGAAGTCATTGGGATGAGTTGGACAGAAGTTTTCACCCTGCTTTGCCTAAACACAATCTTCCTTGCAATTCTCTTCCCTCTCCAGGAACTAGAGACATGTGGCGAGCTTACTCTGACATGAAAGAGGCCAACTGGAAAGGTGCAGACAAATACTTCCATGCTAGAGGGAACTACGATGCTGCCCAAAGGGGACCAGGAGGAGCCTGGGCTGCTAAAGTGATCAGGTAACAGAGCTTGACTGCTTTGGACAGTCAGGAGGGGCTCTCCTCTGCATCCCGTGCACACTGCCTGTAGCCTTCCTCTTCTCTGTGTACAGTACTGGGAACGGTTGGCAGTGATACATGAACCCCACCCTCTCTCCCTTGGTGCTGCTCGTCCAGCATGAGGGTGGAATCCTGGGCTGAGTAGGTGCTTGCTCAGGCAGAATCAGTACCAGCCTCTCCTTCTCTGGTGTTCCTGGGTTCCTAGTACAGCCATGTTTTCGAGTCCAGAGTGCGGAGCTATTGTCATCAGCTTGGTTATGGGTCTTCTTCTTGTCTGTCTTGATTGCAGTGATGCCAGAGAGGATATTCAGAGGTTCACAGGACGTGGAGCAGCAGACTCAAGAGCTGACCAGTTTGCCAACAGATGGGGCCGGAGTGGTAGAGACCCCAACCACTTCCGACCTGTTGGCCTGCCTAGTAAATACTGAGTTTTCTCTTGATGTTCCCAGCCGTGCAGACCCCAAGAAAAGAGGCAATTACTGAATTGAATTAGTTCCTAACTAAAATCTGGATCCCTAAGCACCACCAAAATGTTGAATAAATACTTGTGAAATGCAACTTCTCACTGTCATTTTGAAATCGCACAAGATTGTGGGTCATGGGAATGACAAGAAACATCACACCAGCCCTGCTCTCCTGTCGTCGGGAACATCCACCCTCTGAAGTTGTAGCAGTCACTGGCCAGGCTGCTCCGTGGGCGGTCGTTGGGCATGCGGGGGAGAGCGAGGGCGACACTGCAAGGATAGGGGCGCAAGTGGTTGGCGTTGACAGGAGAGGAGAGCTCTGGGCGGCGGCTCCTGAAGCCCCGCGATGGGAGCGTCCCGGGTTGAGGCTCCCAGCCCTGGGGACAGCGCGGCAGCGACCACTGTGGCGACTCCGGGGCTCTGTGCTCAGGGGACCGCAGCCGCTTTCGCTTGCCCCTGCCCTCCAAATTCGGGTTCCCTCCGCCCGCCCTTGGCACCGGCGTCAGCTACTTGAGCGGCCCCAGCCTCCCCTCCGCCAGCTCCGTGAGGCAGGGATGCAGCCATGAGACGCTGTCGGGGGAGGGGGGGGATGGTCGGGGAAAGCAGCTCGCGGAGCGCGGAGGAGGCGCGCCCGGGGCCCTGGACTCAGGGGTGCAGCCTCGCCGCGCCCGTCCCTCTCAGATTTCCCGGGCCAGCTAAGGCACCGGGCACCTCCCGGGTCGCAGAGATGTTAAGGTTCCCGCCCGCGCCGTTCGCCATCTCGGCCTCGGAGAAACTGAACGACTTCCCCCAGGTGTTCGGTGCACGCGAGCCCAAGGCTCAGAGGCAGAAGTGCTTGCAAGACTCCTCGCAGTTCCCAGTCAGGGTAGCCAGGCAGAGCTGCGCCCCTGCCCTACCTCAAAGATGCAGCTTCAAAAGAACAAGAGCTTCTCTGTCAGAAGCTACAGCGGTGCTGTGTACTGTTGGATTTCAGTGACTGTTTCAGACTTGAAGAGCAAAGAAATTAAAATGAGCAGCACTGAATCAACTGGTTGAGTGTGTTTCAACTAGTAGTGGTGTCATTGTCGAATCAGTATTCTGCTATAATAAAGATGATCAGTGCTAACATCTTCCGTTCGCTTCCTTCAAATGATAATCAAGATTTTGATCCAGAAGACGACGAGTCCACACTTGAGGCTCTTGGGCTCACATACAGTTAGTGTATGGATTCTTCTTGAGATTCTCGAAGAGTCCTGATTTCCAGCCCAGCATTGCAAATTGATACATTCACCAGAAGTTTGTACAACAGCTCCTGGAGCTTTTTGATAGTGAAGACCCGAGAGAACGCGACTTCCTGAAGTTGGTTCTACATCAAATTCATGGGAAGTTTCTTGGGCTGAGAGCGTTCATCAGAAAGCAAATTAACAACATTTTCCCGGGGTTAATATATGGAACAGAACCTTTCAACGCTGTGGCTGAACTCCTTAAGATCTTAGGAAGTATCATCGGTGGCTGGGCGTCGCCACTGAAAGCAGAACATAAACAATTTCTAATGCAGGTCCTTATTCCGATGCACACTGCTTTGGTTCATGCTCAGCTGGTACACTGTGTCGTACAGCTCCTGGAGAAAGACACAGCATGGACAGAGCCTGGTATCAAAGGACTGCTGAGATTTTGGCTGAAACATGCAGACAGAAAGAGGTGATGTTTTTAGAAAAAAATTGAAGAAATGTCATTGAGCCAACACAATTCAAAGCACTTGAAGAGCCTTTTAAAGCAGATGTCCAAGTGTGTCTCTGGTTCTCATTTTCAGGTTGCAGAAAGAGCACTGTACTTCTGGAATAATGAATGTATTTTTACTTTGATTGGAGAGAATACTGATAAAATTCTGCTGATGATGTTTGCCAGTTTGTATAAAATTTCCAAAGAACACTGGAATCAGACCATTGTGTACACGTGCTGAAAACCCTGATGGAGACAAACGACAAGCTTTTTGGTGATCTTACGAGTTCCTACAAAGCTGAGAGACAGAGAGAAAAAAATGAAAGAATTGGAACTTGAAGAACTGTGGAAAACCTGAAAAGCTGAAGCTAAAGACAGCTCTCGAGAAATAGGACAGCGCATACAACATGCAGGGCATTCTCGGCTGAAATACAAGTGCCAAGTAAGATCAGCTCCCGCCTCTGCTGGGTGGGGAGTTTTGTACACTCTTTTGGAATATATAAAAACTTCAAAGCAAACCCCATCAGTATAATATTATTAGCAGGCCAGTTTTTCCTGGGAAGCATAAGTGAAAAAAGTATGGGTTAAACATAGCCCTGGCTGACCACAGACACAGTGTGTGGTCACCTTTGTCTGACCGTTGACTGCATCACCTTATCATCCATGTTACATGTGAGGTCGCCCTGGGAGTGGCAAGGATCACGACTGTGTCCCTCTATCATCCATGTTACATGTGAGGTCGCCCTGGGAGTGGCAAGGATCACGACTTGAACTCTATCATCCGTGTTACATGTGAGGTCGCCCTGGGAGTGGCAAGGATCACGACTTGAACTCTATCATCCGTGTTACATGTGAGGTCGCCCTGGGAGTGGCAAGGATCACGACTTGAACTCTATCATCCGTGTTACATGTGAGGTCGCCCTGGGAGTGGCAAGGATCACGACTTGAACTCTATCATCCGTGTTACATGTGAGGTCGCCCTGGGAGTGGCAAGGATCACGACTTGAACTCTATCATCCGTGTTACATGTGAGGTCGCCCTGGGAGTGGCAAGGATCACGACTTGAACTCTATCATCCGTGTTACATGTGAGGTCGCCCTGGGAGTGGCAAGAATCACGACTTGAACTCTATCATCCGTGTTACATGTGAGGTCGCCCTGGGAGTGGCAAGGATCACGACTTGAACTCTATCATCCGTGTTACATGTGAGGTCGCCCTGGGAGTGGCAAGGATCACGACTTGAACTCTATCATCCGTGTTACATGTGAGGTCGTCCTGGGAGTGGCAAGGATCATGACTGTGTCCCTCTATCATCCGTGTTACATGTGAGGTCGCCCTGGGAGTGGCAAGGATCACGACTTGAACTCTATCATCCGTGTTACATGTGAGGTCGCCCTGGGAGTGGCAAGGATCACGACTGTGTCCCTCTATCATCCGTGTTACATGTGAGGTCGCCCTGGGAGTGGCAAGGATCACGACTTGAACTCTATCATCCATGTTACATGTGAGGTCGCCCTGGGAGTGGCAAGGATCACGACTTGAACTCTATCATCCGTGTTACATGTGAGGTCGCCCTGGGAGTGGCAAGGATCACGACTTGAACTCTATCATCCGTGTTACATGTGAGGTCGCCCTGGGAGTGGCAAGGATCACGACTTGAACTCTATCATCCGTGTTACATGTGAGGTCGTCCTGGGAGTGGCAAGGATCATGACTGTGTCCCTCTATCATCCGTGTTACATGTGAGGTCGCCCTGGGAGTGGCAAGGATCACGACTTGAACTCTATCATCCGTGTTACATGTGAGGTCGCCCTGGGAGTGGCAAGGATCATGACTGTGTCCCTCTATCATCCGTGTGACATGTGAGGTCGCCCTGGGAGTGGCAAGGATCACGACTTGAACTCTTGATCATGCTGCACACAGACCAAGTCATCTTTCACAGGGCTGCAGACCTTGGTTCCATCTGAGGAAAGAACTTTTGTAAGATCCACTGAGGTGCTGCCCTTCCCTTCCCTCTCCTAGAGATGGCGGGAACAAAGCCCAGGCTCCTTAAAGATACTGCCAAAATCTGGGATTTGCAACACCTACGTTTCCAGGATTTTGAAGCACAAAGTATTAAAACTGGGGGAAAGTAAACAAAAATTCTGCTCCCAAATACCCCTTTCAGCAGCAGCAGCACCCCAGAATGTAGCATTGTGGGTAGACCCGAGGCTCACCTCTCCTTCATTCCTCTCCTCTCCAAGGCTGGAGGCAGTGCTGTGGACAATGGTCTGTACCCTGTAAAGATTTGTCAGTTGTATTGGTTTAATAAAACGCAGCCGGGCATGGTGGCGCATGCCTTTAATCCCAGCACTCGGGAGGCAGGGGCAGGCGGATCTCTGTGAGTTCGAGGCCAGCCTGGTCTACAAGAGCTAGTGCCAGGACAGGCTCCAAAGCTACAGAGAAACCCTGTCTCAAAAAAATAAAATAAAATAAAATAAAATAAAATGCTGATTGGCCAGTAGCCAGGCAGAAAAGAGAGAGAGGTGGGGCGACCAGAACAGTAGAATTCTGGGAAAAGGAAAGACTCAGTCTGCAGTCATCACCCAGACACAGAGGAAGCAACATGAGATGTGTCACTGATAAAAGGTACCAAGCCACGTGGCTAACACAGACAAGAACAATGGGCTAATGTAACATGTAAGAGTGAGTTAACAAGAAAGCTCCAGCCAATGGGCAACCACTTTATATATAATGTAGGCTTCTGTGTGTTTCTTTGTGACTGAAAGACTGGGGGACTGGGGGACAGAAACCTGTCAACAAGGCAGGGCCTTCCCAGCCCTTGACTGCCTGACCTCAGGCCTGCCTGTAGGTGGAGGCTCTGAGTCCCATGATGTGAGGCAGACAGCTAGCTGTCACTGCCCGACTTTATTCGGAGGAAATGCATTGACTATGCAGAAGCCCTGTGCGTTCTTACCTGGTCAGTATTTCTCACTTGTTACCAGTTCCTTCCAACCTCTTGCCTTGCTGTTGTACGAAAAATGTTTTATAATGAAAGACCTTCCCTGGGGATTAAGCTGCATTTAATAAAGTCTATGTTTTTAAGAAAAAAGTTTAAAAAAGAAACACCACACCATTATTTTTTTTTAAAGAAAAAGACATGAAAAGATAGGGATTGGAATATTACTGTCTATGCCTATACATGGACCAAAACATGTGTATGTGTCCCATCAAACACAGGCAGATAGCAGAAAGCCCTGTGTATGATTTCAATTATGAAGTTAAAACTAGATAAAAACCAGCACATGCTAGGCTGAGGACACAGCCTAATAGCAGAGCGATTGTGTAGCATGCATGAGGCCCAAGCTTCCACCCCGTGCCTCCTCATAAAAAATAAATAAATTCTTACTTAGC